TTTTTTTTTGAACTTAAAATCGTTTTATCATGGATGTCGACATTTGGAGGTTTACACAGGAAGAAGGAGAGATTTTTTTCCTCTTTTTTGATCTATAACATGCGGTATTGTACATTTATCTGGCAGATAATAGAGAGAGTTGTGCAAGAAATTTTAAAGTTTGATGGTCTTTCTAAAAAGTTTGAAACGAATAGTATATGGTAAGATTTTTTACACAACAGTAACATCCTTTATCTATTAATAATAAAATCGTAGGAGAAGTAGTTCTTGAGCTTAAGCGGTGGATGAGTACGTTATAACAGACGTTTTTAGGTATAGTAAGAACTTCAGATGCAGACAGGCATGAGCATCGCAGTACAAGCATTTTCACCCATCCATTTCAGAAAATGCAGACCTCCGTATTAACCATGTCTTCCGAAATTGTTTGTGATGTCTTTTATCAATACGATATAAGGGCGTATGTGGAACTTTCGTATCTCCTGTTTTAAAAAAATCTAGCTTACTAAAAAAATTTTCAAGCCAGAAGGCTTGCATATAAAATAAAATCTACTGCAGGTTCGCTATTTTACTGGCGAGGGTTGACTTATTCCTTGTACACCTTCGCAAATCGATCTTCTGTTTTGTTATTGCTAATTTAGGAGGAGTCTAGGCTCACGCTGCCAACCCCTCAGAGGTTGGGTATCTGCCTGAATCCTGCTGAGCGCTTTATGCGCATATATTGTTCTGACTTTGGTGTTTCCAACACAGCGGTTAAGGGTGAATACCAATAGGGAGCTGAATGAGCAAAATTGCGATGATGCGAGATTCTGAACCCTAGCACGTTTCTACTTCTCTCCCCTTCCACGTCTCCTCCAGTCGCATCCAATGGATCACTTTCTGATCAAATACTTTAAGGCAGATGCCTGTTCTAGCCATTCCTCTTTGTTTCTGTCACTTTTATAATGTTTTTTTGCAACGATTCCAGAATGATATCGCAATCAATGAGCAGATGAAGAGATTTGTTTCACATCCCGTTCTCGTTATCATAGAAGCAGAGCCGAAGGACATCGGACTTCCTACAGAAGCGTACATAGAAGTGCAAGAAGTTCATGACGTGCGATTTTTTTCCCAGTAGTCTTCCTTCCTATCTCTCTGCTTGTTCGCTTTAGGACGGCACTCCTCCTATCAAGACATTTGAACATGTTGCGAGTGAGATAGGTGCAGAAGAGGCAGAAGAAGTAGGAGTAGAGCATTTGTTGAGGTAGGTATTCTGTCCATTTATTCCTATCTGCCATAGGTTCTACAAATTGCTTCATAGGGATATCAAAGACCAAACAGCTGGCACATTGTCTCAAAGAATCACGGATCAATTAATGGGGCTTCGTGGACTTCATTCGCAGTTGGTTGATATTGAGAAGTGAGTTGCATTTCCATTCTTTTCTTAACACTTACAACTTTGCCAACCCTTTGAGTTTCTAGATATCTTCAAGATGTTGCGGCTCATCGTCTGCCAATCAATCATCCTGTGATTTATCATATTCAAGTGAGATTATCTGAATTGGCTTTTCACTACTTTTTTACACTGAGGCCTTTGCTGATTGCGTCATGCAGAGCATATTTCACCTCATCACAGTTACATTTTCTCGTCCCTTTAGGGAGTACCAAGCATACTGCACAATTCTTTGCCTCTGCTTTTTGTGATCTATTCTGGTGTTCTTATATAGTTTAGCTGAACTTTTTGCTAAAGTGTATGCGACATCACCAGAATCTTGATATTCTTGAATTTTTGACCGTGTAGTGTTTTGATCACTAAACATTTTGTAGGAGGTACTTAACCTTTTGCCAGACGTAACACATCCAGACTATGTGACCGCTCAAAATGTTCAAACAAATGATCAACTAATGTGCGTTTATATGGGGTCACTTGTGCGGTCTGTAATCGCCCTTCATAATTTGATTGATAACAAGGTTAGCGAAAATTTCTTCTGAAAAAATCTTTGAATGTTCCGCAGCGATTTTCTCCTTTCAGTTGGCACTGCAAAAGGCTGAAATTGAACAAGAAGATAATGCAGACAAAAAGAAAGAGGAAAAGAAAAAAGATGAGAAGAAGGAAAATAAGGACCCGAAAAAGGAAGAAACGAAGAAGAATCCCCCTAAAAAGGAGAAGGGGACTACAACGAAGGCTAAGAGACCCTAAGACACTTTCTACCACCTGTTGTAATCAACCTGCTACTAGACTGGTCTCATGTTTTGTGTTTCGTCCAATCTGATGTATTTATCATGATCCATTAGTGAAGTTGAAGTTTACCGGGGGAATGAACGTGAAGTATTTGTGCCTTTTCATAGTAATTTGTCTTTAAAAACTGACGCAACGTAGAGTTAGATCGTCCTATGTGCAGGAAGAAAGGATTCGGTATTCCATGCGCACTTTCAGTTATCTTGGTAGATATACTTTGAATGCTAAGCCGTAACCCAAGATTGGTAGAACGTTTTATTAGGCTTACGTTTGGGCTTGTTCGGTTTCGGAGCCTAGAAAGGGAGAAGCACATGAGACATATTTTCCAAACATTTTATTTTCAGTAAAAAAGTCATTGAACGAGACTATTAGAAGCCTATGAAATGCAGCTCATTTTACGTTGTTAAAGAGACTGAAGGACCACTGGATAGGCAACATTGATGTACAGATGAGCTGTATCCTGGAGAGGATTAATGCGAGGTGTAGGTCAAAACCCAAAATAAATCCAGGAATGGCGCAAGTCTTATCTTTCTTTTGTTATGGTGCATACCTCTTCTCTTCAAACTCATTCAGGTATCGATTGAGATAACCATCTTTTGTTTCGTAAAAAGGGCGCATTTATTCCATCTGCGTATATTGTTCGCTAATAAACATCTCACCACCTGTACATTCATAGGCTAAAATTAAAAAATAAGCAGACATCACGCTACTTCATGTGAGCCCGCTGAAGTCAGAAAACTCGCATAGTTAAAAAAACTCTACAATCGGACTGACCACAGCTAGAAAAACGGAAGAAACTCTAGCTGAATTATAAGTAAGCGTGAAAGAAGTCAATAGCAAACAATGCAAAAAGAGAAAAAAAA